GTCTCCCTATTCGTGTCAATGACATGGGGGTCCCGCATGTCGATCGCCGCCGAGCCAAGGAGAGCGGGCTGGGCTGCGCCGTTCTGGGCCATGTGTGTGCGCACAGTAGTGGGCCAGTTCGTTTCCAGCTGGCCGGCCCAGTAGAGTTTTAAAGAATTGTTTTCCATTTATTCTTTATTATTTGAAAACAGAAATGGTTTGCAAAATGTTTGGATACTCAAACTTGCTCCAAATTTGTTGAAACAAATTTTGCTAGGTTCCTTATCATCAGATCTACTTGGGAAAAATTGTGCATGTCATTTTTGAGATACTTTTCTATAGGATTTTATTTAATCTTGAATATTGCTGATAACTTGAAAAATATGTAGAAAAATATATAGGGCTTCAGAAAAATATGATTCCAAGTTTGTTAATCTTCTTATGTCATGTACTTCCTAGGAAAAAAATATGTTTCATGCATGTGCTGTGGGAAAAATTTGAGGTGTAGTTCAAGTACCTTTAATGGCTAATTTTTGTTATTTTTGCTAGAGCACAAATTTTGTATAAAACATGCATGTGACAATTTTTGTACAGTCATTATATACCATGAAGAACCTAGGAAAAATATTAATTCTGTTGTTTGACACTTTTCATAGTACAAAGTAATTTCATGCTCATTTTTAGGCTATAGCTTGTCATTTTTGTGTAGGATAGTTTACTTATCCAAATGCCATGAAATTTTTATGGTAGTCTGTTTAGGGTAGTATTATGCTACTGTAATTTTCTCAGATTTTTAGGAGCATCAGAAATATAGGTTGCTATTCAAACCTATTATTAATTAGGGTTTAAGCAAGTGTTGCCTTAAGTGTGATTAAGAAATTAGTAAAGCTTTGGTGTATCTTTGAAGCATTTAATAAAATATGTTGACTTAACATATTGGTAGTAGAAGAGAATGCAGTAGATGACATGTGCTTGTAGCATAGTTTCTTGGATGATGTTGACTACCTTGCCTTTCAACATATCCATTGCATTCATCTCTTTCGATGCACCGATTGCATAGGCACTTACACGCATTGCATCATATAGGATCGCAAACCGAGAACCCAGTCGTCATACCCGAGGAGCCCGAGGAGCAGTTCGAGGTGCAGCCGCAGAAGTGCCAGAAGCCGACGAGGAGGACGTTGAGGAACTTCCGGAGTGCCCCGATCACCGTCCGAGCTCCTTCGAGAGAGGCAAGCCCCGGAGCATCTTTCTCCCGGTTTGCAATGATTTCGTTAAATTCTTTACTTAAAATTGATGCATTACGTTCAGGAGTTGTTTGCAACCGTTGCTGCATTATACCTTGTTTACCTTTGTTATACTATATCCTTGTTACCCTGGTATCCGCAGTCGAGTCAATGCTTAGCTGGCTTAGACCGGTAGAAGTTGGGTGATTTCCTATCACTGCGAGCTATAGGTGGTTACCGGATCTGTTTGGATGGCTATGAAGTCATGGTATAACTAAGTGTTAAATGAAGTTGAGACCCAAGGCGGAGACTTGGGGGTTTTGGACTGTAGTGTTTCCGTCAGGTCGATTAAGGACCGACCGTTGTTGGGCCTCGAGTCATGTTGAACGCATGCCTTACATTTAATTGGGCGGATAAAGTACCTTCCGACCATGAAGCCGGGAGATTTTTCGGGCGAGTAGATTGCCATGGCGCCTTGTGCGAAGCAGGTGTGTAGTAGGACGGGTGGGAGGATGATAAGACCAAAGTGCGATCGGTCGGCCCCGGTACATGTGGTTCTGTCAAACTCGAGATACCGGAAAGTTGACTCGGTGATCAATATCTCACTTTAGCGGGTGAGTGAGATTTGTGTAAGGAATAAATCACCGGTGGTTAGGAATCGATTGAATCGCCATCGCTCCCGGATAGTGAGCACTTGACTTGAGTGACTTCATCGTAGTAAATGTTTATGGAACACTTGGACAGTTATAGTGAATATGATGTATGGAAGTTGTTTAATGATCGGTGGTTATCATTAATTGCTTAATCACATGTTTACTCTAGTATAGGTGCAAATCTAGTCGAAAGTTAATAATAATTAACTTGACAATAATGCTTTTAGAAAGGTTCTTGAAATGCTAAAATGCTTCTTTTGCAAATGAGTCACTACCCTACTATTATGCCTGCATAATCCTTGGTGTCATTTATTTTCGGTTATGTCGGGTAAGTCCGGTGAGTACCTTCTCGTACTCGTGGTTTTATTCCCACTTGTTGCGAGATGGGCGAGATGTACTACGGCTATTGTATCAAGCGCCTCTATCCTGCGATGGGTGATGCTTAGGACCATGGGCATGGTCATTCCTTACGTCTCATCTAATGCTTTTGTTGGAAATGATCATTCATTTGGCACTATATTTAAACTCAGCGTGTGAGTGTGTGTGTGGTTTTAGACAAATGACTTCCGCTACTTTTATTCGAACTTGTTTTGTAATAACTATGTTTAAACTCGATGTATACATTATGGAAACTTTTATGTAATATGTGATTGGTGACCGCTAAACTTATTACGATCATGGCTGGGACACGAGTTGGTTTGAAATCCTTCGTGATTTCACGGACTACCGGGTTATACGGACTTAAGTTTGCTCAATCGTCTGCTCTGGTGGATGATTTTCTTACTTAATTTCGTATAATTGGTCGGTTCTGTTACAGTTGCAGGTGATGCTTGAAGAGTACCTTGTGTGGAGGATCCTTCTAGTGGGCTCAGACGGATTCCTCGCTCCCTTACCGCTAGATGTTATTTTTTTAAAATTCCGCTGCTTATCATTCCGCACTCTGGTATTTGGTATTGTAATAATGTACTTTTTGAGAAACTCATATGTATGAAATAGACTTGTATTGTAACTCGTTCTCATTATTGGATCCTTGGGAAAAATGTGGATCTTTCGGGTTCTCCCTCGGGGTGTGCCCGACAGACACTGCTCGCTGTAGCTTGCTTTTGGGGTGCTTAGTGTCTGGTGGAAGATGAGCGCCTCCGTAAGTACGCTATTTTGGGCGGTTCTGCCAGACAAATCAAGTCATGTGATAATCTCGTTGACCTATTTACTAAGTCCTTACCAACTTCTGTGTTTCAAAAATTGGTACATGGAATTGGTATGCGGCGACTTCGAGATTTGCCAGAATCAAGGGGAGACATCTTCTAAATGTTGACCTGTACCAGCATCATATTATACGCTTTTCTTTCACAAGTTTTACTTATAAGGTTTCTTGTTAAAGTTTTTAATGAGGTAATATTAACATAAGCATGTGTCATATTTTCTATTTTCTCCACCGGGGTTTTTGTGGGAAATATCAAAGACACATATTGCCCTCACAACTCATCCATGGTTTTTTTCCTGAAAAGGTTTTTCATGTGAGTTATCCAATAGGCAATACCAATAATATGACGTCATATTTTCTCCTAATTTTCCCACTGGGTTTTCACAGGAGTTTTAGCGACATATCACTTTATATTGCTCCTCATATTTTTTCTGAAATGGTTTTTGGGGAGTAATCTATATGTCATATCTCCAATATTTTTCTCCACTGGGGTTTTTAATGGGATACCAATGACATAATGATTTATTTAAATCACACTCATATATGTTATTTTCTCCTTATTTTACTATAAGGTTTAAAGGAGTTTTTATAGCATATCTATACATACATATTCCTCAGATTTTTCCCATAGGGTTTTTTTGAGGAATTCAAGCATACAGCTGCATTGGTCTCAAAGAAGATTCGATCAAGGGGGGAGTGTTACGAAACGATGTCTGCCTGATCTCATCCAATTAGACGTGCAGTTAGAGATAGGATTAGAGATTAGATTTACAGTTAATTGTGTCACCGAAGGGGCATGTCTCTTGGTGACGAGATGTAACTTCTCCCGTCAATTGTGTCCTTTGGACACACCCCTTCACTTGTATATATTTTATGAGATCAATGAAACACAGAAGTGGTTCCTAAATCTTTGTTCATTTCATTCACTATGCAATAGTTACAAAACTTGTTGTACACCAAGATCAATGCTAGCATGCCAACGGTAACCAAACAACTACCGATAAAAGACTGCAGCCTCTCCAAAAGAAAACGTCCGTCATTAAGGAGACAAGCAGCATTCGTGGTACTTCACCAATCACCAGATAATTGTATCGGAGGATGATACCGTGCCATGTGGTAAACTGGGAATTTACCAACTATAGTCCTTGCAAGTGAAATTATATGCTGTCCTCAACAGAGTCCCCCGCTGCTCCTAATGCTCCTAACCCTTTTTATACTCGTCAAGTACAAAACAATGGAACTTTGTAAAAATGAGAAGAGGAAGAATATATAAGCACGTTTTATTTCCTCAAAATGTTACATGAGTTTTATTTCCTCAAAATGTTACAGCATGAGAAGAAGAATATATAAACACGTTTTATTTCCACAAAATATTACAGCATGAGTTAATCGTGGCGTTGGTGACGTGCAAATACACTTGTCCTGTCGATAGTGATAGCGACTTTGCCACGATGCCAGTTCACTGATTCTGCTGCTAATGGCATTGGCCGTTTAAGAATGATCCATCTGCTCCGTCGGAGTCAGAGAAGCCTTCCTTGTTTGGGGTCGACGAGCTCATTTTCCTCATTTCATTCATTTGGAGATACCAACTGAAGCACGGCGCCGATCAAGCAGCAGGGGCACGGCCATTAGGATCCGGCGGAGTAGGGAACGCACTGGCACAAACCATGTTGTAAAAAGCCACAAAGATTGGAACATAGTTGTGATCATAAATTTTTCGCATCATCCCAGTTCCATGGCGATCACATACAGTTTGGTGATGCATAGGTGGTACGAATAACACAACATACTAGCAGAAATGCACACTCGTATCAAGGGTGTTGCCTGAAACAAGAGGAAATAAAACACACTATAGAGTATAACTGACGTTAAGGTCCAGGCATGGATCAGACTTAAAAGATCCTCAAACCAGCCAATCTGCATCATAACCAGTAATGGTTATTCCGTGTTCGATGTGCTTGGAGGTTTCTCCTTTGGATGCTTTGACCCGTAGTGATCGGTCAGCTGTTTTTCATTTGCCAATTGTACCTACGGAAATAGCAACGCCCGGGTGAGCAGGTATGTTCCTCAAATGCAACTAGCCAGGTAAACAGCTTTACTCCCGAGTTAAAAGGAATCCAGAAAATATAGAAGACGAGAGCCAATATGCCACAGTAACCTCTGAGTTATCATATGAAGAAAGTACTGGGTAATGAAAGAGTACAGCTAAACCATGTTTAGACGAACCCACAAAAGGTTCCACAACAGGGAATTCTTTCTGAAGTATTGACTCTGCTTTTGGGAAAAAAAAAGGTGATGGAAGTCTTTTACTCGTGAGATCAAATCATGCTAGGAGAAGGTTATGTGGCCACTTCTTTGTAGCACTAGCTTTATGTGGTGTGGTAAAGTGTCAGACACACCACTTCGAGTACTCTCAATCTCTCATTCTAGTCACGATGCCTAGTATCACTACTAACCGGTCCCAATCCCCCCAAGGCAACAATATGAGTACGCTGGAACAACATGTGTCAGCGATTGGCCTACATACAAACTGGCTGATTAAAGGAGGTTAGAGCAATAGTGGTGGTATGCAGAAGGAACGTTTCAATTTGCTGGCACAAAATTTTCCAGATAAAGTGAGGCGCTAGATGGATGGATACTCTGCAGAGCAGTCCTTCCTTCGCCTGAATAGGGGCAAGGCAAGCAGGGATACGGCAAAGCTGGACACATTGGCCGGATCTGCTGCCAAGGCAAACCCGGTAGGTCCAGGCGATGGCTAGGGATCGGAGAGGGGCTCCGGCTTACCTTGCAGATGGGGCAGACGACCTTGAGGCCGACGGCGCGGGCCTCGAGCTGGGACCCCTTGGATTTCTGGTTCCGCTCTGCGTTACGCCGCTGCGCGTCGATCTTCTGCTTCCCGCGCGTCATCCCTCCGCCTCTACCGCCGCCGCCCTCTCTGCGGCCACCGGTGGCTTCCTCCCTCCGGCGATTGGATTCGGATCGCCGCCCGCCCTGCCCTGCCCTGCCCCTCGAGCGAGAGTCTGGATGCTTCTTCGCTTACCTCGCCGTACCTTCCTACCCGGAATCGGGTGCCAGTGCCACGCCCTCCTCCACTCCTGGGCTGCTGCATTGCATTGGCTTGGCAGGCCACTGGCCACCCGTAGAGATTTTTTTAACACTTTTTTAAACTAATTTTAAATGTAACACTGTTTTATTTGTTTTCTAAAACTAATATTTTTACTCGCGTCTATTTCTCTGGCGTGGCGAAACGCCTGTGCTGGTGCTGACGAGAGTGATGACATGGCGACGACCGTGACGCTGACCGGTGACGTGGTAGGGTCTGCCGTGCCACCGATCTTGGCGCGGCGCCGCCGCGCCATCCCTCACGGCGCGGCAGTCCCAGGTAAATATCGCATGCGAGCCGCCCTCCCTCTGTCTGCCTTAACGCGGTGGACGACTTCCGCGCCGTGCCTTCCCGCCACTCCAAAGTGTTGTCAGTGTGCAGCCCTCCGTTGCCATCTCCCTCCCTCCCTTCCCTTCCATTCCCTGGCCACCTCCCTCCCTCCTCGGACTCGTTCGAGGTAATGACACATTTTTTATTTTCGTTTGAACAGTGGATTGAAATATTATGAATGAGAGTTAAGGTTAGAAGAAAAATTATGTTTGGGAACTATGGGCTATGGTTTGGAGGAAGATATTAGTTTGATTTTACCAATGTTAAGGTTAATTATTTAGTTAGAAGTATGTTTATCATGTATATTTTTGTTGCTATAAGGGTTGGTTATATTATTTGAGTTGCAATGCAAATGATTATATTTTACATTAATTTGCGTTGTTTTGATTGATGTTTAATTTGAACCGTTTTATTAGATGGAAGACATGTTTCGGGAGCAGTTGTGGCGAAAACGGGATCGTCCTAGAGAATTGTACCCCGACGAGTCTAGCAAAGATGCCCCCGTCCCTCCTGATCTCTCTGTCCCTAACTGTGACTGTGGTCGTCTGGGCGACGTGTTTCAATCGAGACATCCGGACACAGCGGCTCGTTGCTTCTACACATGCAGTCGTTTTAATATAAGTAATTGTTTTCGTATATTTTTTTCTTCATTTGTATTACTAGGTTACTAATATTTTGTTGGAATTTTGTTGTGTAGGCCTATGAGAGGTGCTTTTTCTTTCAGTGGATCAACGATGCAGACAAGTTTGACCCCAGGTAACTCCTTTTCAATGATTGGTGAGGGCGGCATCTACGAGAGCACTTCGAGCGGTGGGTTCCACCTCCCCCTAACCCCCCTCCAATAATGGCTAAGGAGAAGCACTTAGCCGTAGTTAGACGACTCGAGGAACCTCCTTTGTGCGATTGAGGAGATCGAGCTGTGCTAAACCCTGAGAATACGTTGGAGTTTATGTGTCCAAACAAGCATGAAGCAAGTGCAAAGTGTATGTGTTGAAATATTGAGCTATATGTGTTCATGTACTAATATCACCTTATTTAGGTGTTTTTAATGGCGAAGTGTCGTTTCAAGGAGTGGTTGTATGGTCCTAAGAACCAATGGCCGAAAGAACCGCCAAAGGTTAAGGAAAAGAAGAAAGAAAGGATAATTTACAAAGCACCTCCTATCATGTGCGAATGTGGTGTTAAATCCAACTATGGCCTAGTCCCTTTGGAGCTTGGAATATGCTATTATTGCGGCCATATGATTGACTATGATGAGGTTGGTTATTGGTGTTGAAAACGTGAAATTGTATTTTTTGGATTTTTTGAAGAATTATGATATAATTTTTCATTTGAACAGAACACTAGGAAATGCAAGTGGGAATCTTATGATGGTCAATATAAGTTCTTGGATGACTTGAAGGGGATGCAAGTAATTGCACGGAAGAGGGGATATGGACGTGACTATGTCGACCACTTTGTTAAACTGTGAAAGAAGAACATGCGTGAGTTTGCTAGAAAGAGCGGTATTCGTAACCCGATTGATGTTAGGCTTGACAAATGGGGGTCGGAGAGATGGAGGGCATTAGAGGAGGATAGGACAAGGAAGGCTGCAATGGAGGAGAAAATAGTACAGATGCAAGTCTTGAATGACCATGTTGCTGCATTGTGTGCAAGTGAGTAATTGGAAGCCTTCTTACTTTCGTTGCCTGCTTTTAAATGTACTATAATCGTGTTGGTAACTTGTTGCATTTTATACATGAAGAGATTGGATGCAGCGGGAACCATGCCGTAGAAGTGGCTCGTGCAAGTTATATGGAAAACAAGCTACATGAGCACAGAACCCGAGCCGGTCGCAGCGTTCTATGTCCGATTATGTTGGACAATGAGGGGGATGAGGATGAGGACGGCATTGCCAGATTGAGCAATCTCATCGCTCTAGCGAAGGTGGGCTTACAGGTGGAGAAGGATGAGGATGACACTGGCAGACTGAGCGAGCTCATTGCTCTAGCAGAGGCGGGTTTGAAGGCGAAGGAGGATGATGAAGCGTTATTCTCTCAAGCCGCAGAGGCCGTGGATGAAGCGGAGGCCACTTACTATAGGCGACAGACAGATCAGGGCAATGCGGGTGAGCCTAGCCACATGAACGAGGAGGAAGAGAACGTGTTCTTGTCTCAGGCCGCAGATGAAGCGAATGCCACTTACTACAGGCGAAAGGCAGATCAGGGCAATGCATGTGACCCTAGCCACAGTAACATGGTTGTGGTAGAGGATTGGTACTCGGACGACGAGTTGCTTACTCAGTAAGTTTCTGACTGAGGATTTTTTATTGCGCCGTCTGTTAGTTCTATGTTTTATTAATGATCAATGCAGCTATGTACTAGAACTTTCATTGTGTTGTCTTGTTTTTCATTTGACCTATTGATGTATTTACCCATGTATCATGTACTCGAATTACCCATGGTCGATCTTAAGTGATCCCATCCGTTTGTCACCCTCCGACCCATCCGTTTGTTCCTCTCCGATGCATCTAAGTTTTTTTAATAATAGTGAATGCGTTGAGAATTTCTAAAACGAATAAAATCAAGTCAAATTATTTCGAATAGAGTTGGCTGGCATATATATCTTGCATGTTCCTCATGTATTTTAAAATAGTAGCGTGTAATTTATGTTATTAGCATCAGTTCAATGTAAAATAACAATAATGTTATCACTTTATTCTAGTGTTCTTTTTTCATGAGTCATGTTTGGGCACGCAATCCTAAGCCTAGGTTCTGCCGCGCCATAGCCCACGGCGCGGCACTGATGCGCCAAGACCCACAGTGTGATAGGACCTGGACGTAGATAAAAGCCAACCAGCCTCAATTACAATAAATGGAGCTGCTGTCAGTGCTGTAAACAACTACAAGTGCTATCGTGACGCATTGAAACAAATATGAAGTAAATAAATGGAGTCCGTGCGCAAGTTGACAAGTTGCCACATAACATTTTCATTGGTCATGAGTCTGCAAGTTTCGGACGACAATATTCATTCGACATAAGTGCAACATAACCAACTAAGTCCCATGAGTGTAAGGATCCCTCGGATGCCTCTATCTCTTCGGATTTGTAGGCAACACATTGGGAGTGTAGCCAACGTCGATGTGGTCGCGTTGCCGGTGCTTACGGCTCGTACCCTACAAGTATATGATATGCATGATTACTTATAATCTTTATGATCGTTAGTTCATGGAGCCTACGAATTTAAAGAAACTACCTTTGTTACTACCTGTGAGGCTCCTTGGGTACCAAGTGGGGCACCACCTAGCTGAGACATGCCGATCTCGTCCTACTGCCAAGGGTCCCACTGGTGGTGCTGTATGCGGAAGCCCGGGGGGTCGTCGTCGTCGTCCTCGTCGTCCTCGTTTGCAGGGTCCTTCCCAGCGCTATAATGTGGTGGTGTACGCACAGCGGAAGCGGCACCTGTCACCGGCTGAGAAGAGCCGGCTGGTGTCCTCAAAGAGCCAGAAGACGTGGCACCTGACCACACCGGGTAATCGGGTTCCACCCAAGGAGTGTCCATGCAGCTCAACTTCTGAGCTAGCTTCCTGCAGCTCCGCTTCACCTTCTGCATGAATAGACGTTAAAGTTAGTGCATTTCTCAAACACATATACACTAAAGAAACATTTTTGGAATGGACAAGTTTATGTTTACCTCCATAAAAGCCTCGAGAACGCCTGGCCCCTGCCCTCTAGACTCGTGAAGCCGAAACATTGCTTCGTTGGATAGCCTTGACAATTGTCGCCTCGGTACAGAAACACGGTTGGACAATTTTAGTATACATACTTAATACCAAATGGATAACAAATTATACCATTCGAGTATCTTACCATGTATCTTTGAAGCGGGGCTCTCTATAGTTGTGTGTCATCCCTAGTGGCAATGTCATACACATCTTCGATCACATCTTCCTCGTCGTCCTCATCAATCGCCTCCTCAGTGTACGGGGGCTTGATATGTGTCCTCGTAGACCTGTGAAGCCACCACAGGTACTCATCAAAGGTGTGCTGGTCATGTGGGGGACCCGCATCGACTGACTGCCGGTCCCTGGTCTGCCACAACTAGATGTACTCGTTGTGTGTCACGCGCCAATCCTTGGTCTTGTACCTCTTCTTGCGGTCATACCTACAACAAAACGATTGTTAGTTATACCATACACACCTCTAAATTGTAGCTTTGTTATTAATTGATAACGCACCCGTGCATTTCTTGGTTGGTGGAGTAAAGCGGTGGTGGGTAGCCTGTCATTCTTCCAAATTACCTGCGAACACTGATGGGCAAGTGAATCTCGACCACGTGGAAGAAAATGAGTGGGACATTGCAGCGATACTCGTCTAACTCATCCCTAGTGACAGGACTCAGATAGTCCTAGAGCTCCGGAGCATCCCAAGGACACCAATGCACCTGAACATTTCGTAATAGAGTTAGGTTGTGATATAGTGTACATCTAACAAG